ATTTGCAATTATTCTGAATAACAGATTTTGGGGGGAGTTCTGGAGATCATACTGCAAAAGGTGAAGCACTGATTCAAGAAAAAGTTTACCCCGGTTTAAGGTAAATAATCCATGTTTCATGGGTTTTACCGTATCTAAATCAAGTCATCAACTACCTACGCATGCGAATTGACAATGACATATGGTAGAATACTTACTCAAGCAAGTAATTAGGAATTAACAGAGAACAGTTAACAACATTCGTTTTCTTTTTCCTTGATATCACAAGCTAATGTAAACATATGTAAGCGCTGCGCACATAATGACATGTCAGAAAGGAGGTATCTTGATTTTACTTTTATACAAAAAGATGTACAGGGTGTCAAGGCTAGCAAAAGATTAACATTTGTAAAAAAAAAAGTGAAGGAGATCATTAGAAGTGGACTTTTTATAAAGAGAGGTATTGGTGAGATAAAAAATGCACAAGCTCCAATTAAAATCATATCCTAAGCACATAGAAGGACGATCAAGGCAGTTTGTAGATGGGCGCTGCAACAGTTCGGATTTCCTTTTTTCTAGATGTGGAAAAGTAAAACGAGATAAGGATAGAAAGGAGGAACAGACACTTTTGTACAGAGAAACAGATTTTCTATGGGCTTTCAAACACAAGTCATTCTATTTAGCTTTCCTTCTATAATTTTATCTTATTTAAACTTAAAATTTTATTTAATCAGGTTTCAAAAACAATAACAAAACATTAAATCTAAGGAATTAGGTTCAATAGATAATAATATTGTGTAAAAAATTTAACAAGAGCGCAATGGGAGGTTTGTGGTCTGTAGAACATGATCCGCAATTGGAAAATTCAAAAGGTTCAATCGCTCGGCGCAAGTCGTTTAGTCATCAAAGCCTTAATTTGTAACGCTCGATGAGATTTTCAAGCGCTAAACATTATTTCCACAGAAATTTGGATATACAGATTTCTCTAGTCCCGACAATTGAACCGAATCTCCCACTCTAATTAACGACGCATATTAATGTTTAGAAAAGAAATTTCCAATGACACTGCCATTTCCAGCTTTCTCTGAAAAATCCACTCAACACAATTTTTCCAGGCATTCCCAGAGCATTATAGCTGCTTCTCTGCTTGTTACGCTCTCATAAGTAGTCAATTGTCAAAAAAGTGTTCTTATTGGTCATTAGCTATCATTTGTTTCAAGCTTCTGGTTGTTATCTTCTCAATTTGTAAGTTGAATTTTCAGATTAAAAACATCTTGTAAATCTCGCCGTTACGGTTGGATCACGGCATGGAGCGCACTGTTTTTGGCACCGTCGTTAAACACCTGATGTTTTAAAAACTAAGAAGAAAAGACTTTACTGTTGATAAGATCATTCTTTGTCTTATTCTAATAGTGTTTTACGATTCCATAACCTTATCCTGCCGTCGAAAAGCCGTAAAAGACTTCTGGATGTAAATTTAGAGACAAGTCTGC